GGGTAGGATCATCCGAAAATCCGGATGATTAAAAAAATGGCCTAAAAAAAGCAAAAAAAAAAGTAAAAAAAAAAGTGATATTGCGCATGCAAAATACAATAGAACTACATTCTTATTTCATGAAAAGCTTGATAGGGCCTGGAAGGGTTCAAAGGGGATAAGATAGGGAATAAAGGGGTTTTAGGGGGGATGCTTAATTCATTGTATAATTTTTTATCTTAATATTATTTTCTTGTTCTGTTTTATTTTTTATCTTCATATCTGTTGAGTAATCAAAGATGTATGTTACGCTTATCAGCATAAACATTAGTTAGCCGTAATCACTCCTCATATGCACCACAGCGTCAAGAATGGAGGGAGAAGAGACAGAGAGAGACATACACATAAGATGGATAGGAGAACAAAGAAGATAAAGTCACACTTCACCAGAAGAAGAAGACGACAACAGGTATCCCGAACGCGACTTGAATACGATAGATTAAAATGAAGCACAATGCCGGAACCAAAAAAGCTCCGACTGGCGTTACGACCCGACCGGTTTCGCCTGGCCGCCAACCAGGACTCATCAGGGGTCTAAGTCACTTAACGGACACCTATCTAAAGACTTACTTATATGAAAAAGAGAGACTCGTAAGAAGACCGTCAAGACTTCACGAACCGATCGGAAAAAAGTCACGTCCCACACTACCCATCGAACCACAGATCAAATCCTACGAACTAGTAGCCTCAGATTACCGCACTGAATAGACCACCTCCAATGCACACAGCCTCAAAAAACTTAGCGAAGAAGTCTTAGAAACTACCGAGACTCAGATCAACAAAAGGTACCGAGCTCAAATCCTCAAAAAAGAAAAAAAACAGAGCTAAAAAGGATAGACCTAAACTACAGAGCAACCCGGCACTGGACACCCATCAGAACATGAGACAACCCCCAGTTACCCACCTCTCAGGTTAGAAAAGTACCCCCCCAAAAAATATACTACACAAAACCCCGGCTCAACAGCCTCAATACCCGATAGAACACATCAACAGTCCGGCTCAACAACCGCGAACCTCCCGTGGCACGCAGCACCATCATACTTCGCACACACACTCCCCACAAACATCCACACATTATCGAATTTCTCAAACCAGAACCAGTCCCCGATATCCCCTAAACACGGGGATCTTCAAAAAATCGAACCTCTTTCAAGAAACGACCCCATCCAGTTAATATTGGTAACCATTCGCTCCATAAGCCTCCAAATCTCCTTGAAAACAGAGTAAGCGCCAAATCGAAAAGATCATCAGGATAACCCCTCTTCCAAAGTTCACATTTAAGAGAGAAAAGGAAGGGTAACACCATGCCGTCAATCGACGAGTACAGTTTGGCTCGATGGAGAAAGGAGTTGATCACCGCGAGTTTCTGATGGCGGCTTGTGAACGACACGTAATCCTGGATACACTGAAACTTCACTCTACCATTAACATCCTCCCTTTGATTCTTCATCCGGGGGAAGCATACCACCCCCATCTTCCCTTCAAAGACCTTAAGGACACAACCAAGGTAGTCCCAACAATTACCAGAATTAGTCTGTTCTAGGATCAAATTATCATCATAACATCGACGAAACGAATCAATAAGACGTAACCCTTTGTCTTGCGAACATCTGTCGTCTTTCTTACACACAACAAACACCGAAATGTCATCGACTAATCTAAAATCACGAAACAGCCTCTGATCGATACCCAGACTGGTCAAGAACACAAACTCGTTGTACGCACAAAGCAAACACGCAAGCGCGGGGCTTGATGATTTCCCCATCGGAATACCAACCTTCTGACACAACAGCCGTCCAGCAGCCCACACATAGGTATGCGCAAGCTCAAAGGTAGCAAAATCAAAAATCACCGACAAGGGGATGCTTCTCCATCCAACATCGGCCTTCTCTGTTAGGAGCTTGGCCCCCTTCCCCTGCTTACAAATTCCAACCGCAGAAACGCCTTTCTCATACAAAAAATCAATCACCCAAGAGATCGCACCTAGGATCGAAGCATGTGGAAGATTTGATAACATCTCTTTTATGTCAAAAGATGCACCCAGAATAATGTCAGAGCTTGTCAACCCACGATTAACAGCCTTGATCCCTGCTAACAGCTCGTCAGCACTACGAAGGTTAAGATTAGACTTGGCTGGAAGGCTCCACAACATAGCGTTAACGGCTCGAGACAAGACCCTTACACCAGACGCAGAGCATTCAGGAGAGGAAGGACAGATCGGCCTCCACCTACCCACATCTTTGTGCTTAGGCAAACAGTAAGCCTCACCAAACGACCCAGTCTTTTTCCATTTCCCAACGGAACGCAGTCCCATTTCACCATACTTCTTTTCACAACGCTGCTACACAGCTACCTCACTCTCATCGCATAAGCAAAAAGACGGGTTCCCAAAAAACAATGTCTCCATGCCTTTCTCATACAACAACGGGCAGCACACGTAAGTGTCCCCCATGTTGTGATCGATGGGGCAACACACCATACCCCGGAGTTAATCATGAAATCCACATATCTCGTCCTCAGAGATCGCTGCCTCGGGCCCCACCTAGCCACCCTCATTGACAAAACAACCCCGAAGCAGATCAGAAGACAAGGCATTAGCACCTACAACCGGAAGTGAGGGATGCGCTTCAAAAGAAGACAGGATTTGTGCACGCAGCTGAGAGACAGAATGCAGCCGAGAGGGCTTAACCAGAATCTTCGGGTTACGGAACCAAGAAGGAAATAAGGCGGGAACGTCATTGACCCGAAAAGACACATGACTATTCTCTCGCGGAAGAGACTCATCACACCCCGTACATGCACAAACAACACTTCCTACGTTAGCGAAACGGCGGAAATTGTGAACCAAGTCTCCGATACTCTTGTTGCGGCACCACACAATTCTCATACGACGAACCATCATCCCCTTCCAACTTGAATTAATGTCAAGATTACCGATGAGTCCAGCACATAACCTCCGAACACCCGACTTACAAACACGATGGTCATAGGTGATCCGAACAACCAGACGCTTCCTAACATGAACACCGAAACGCGAAAGCACATGCCGAGAAAGTTAACACCGCAATCTGAACCTAGTCCTCTTTTCGGTAAACGTCCGCACGGCAGTATATCCAACAATAAGCAAGTCAGAGCTCCACGAACCCAATTCAACACGCCGACTCGGATTACTCAGAAAAGTAGCCAAAGGGGCTTTGAGAGATAGCGAGCGACTTAAAAAAGGAACAATAGGATCAATAATCAACAGGAAGCCACCCTTCAGCCAATCACGAGAGTGCCGCAGTTCCTTCTTACCGAATTCAGTCTCTACCAAACAACCGCCATAGAGTCTCTGCAAGACCTTCCAACGATCAACCAATTGAGAACCACCAACACAGCTGACAACGATACGATGAATATCAACATCCTTACACTTCTCCAAGATTTTTAGAAGACTGACCGAAACAACACCGTCCGCAGTATGAAACGAACACAAGGACCCATAACCAAGCCCAACACAGCGCTGCACAAGAGCACCATCATCACACTTTTTTTTCTTCCTAATTCTCTCCCTCAAACCAAGACGACGTCGTTTACACCGCTTAGGCTTATCACGCACATTCAGAGCTGGGGCAAGCAACCTTATAAAAAACTTCTCCGTCTCAAGTAAATCACTGGACGAACAACGACATAAGGGAACCGCCGCATAGTTATAAGCACCAAATCTGCGTAGCCACTGACAAAGCTTCTCATTTCTACGTCCTCCTTTGATAACACTCTGTTGACACGCACGATACACATGCTCCCTCCAGCGGGAGTGCAAATCTCTCTGAGTACTACCAACGTACACGTGGCGCACCCACAGAGATACCAACGCATAAACAATCGGCCCATCCCAATCACTCACATACCTTGAAGAAGACGCAGCACATGCCAAGAAATTACCGAGTTTTACACCACACGGAATAACACTCAGCAGAATCAACCCACAAACTGCCGAAGTAAGTAGAACGTTGACCTCCTTGCACCGAAGCCACGCAGCAGATAATGATCGAATGCGATAACAAAAATTAACAACCCGCCACAGAAAAGTCGCGTTCAGGCATGACCCTAAGAAGTAGTCGAGTCATGCTCGTCGCTCTTATCAGAGTTACCCCCCTCATCATCGGGAACATCGACAACCGCATCAACCTTACCTTTACCTTTGCCGCTTTCTTTCTCAACTTCAACTTCGAATGCACGATCAGCTCTCCCCTGCGCAATCGCTTTTTTAGTAGGATCGAGCTTCATGTACTCAATCCCTTCCTTCTCACAAATAGAAACGATCTCCTCCTTCCTTAGGTTCCTCAATTGCTTACGTGCCTCTCGAATAAACACATCCCTCCGACTTGCCGATCCAGCCATAACGCTCCTCCCCTTGTCCTTACAGGTGGACGGTCCCGCGACATCGTCCAATTTCGCCCTCAAATTAGTACCACGAGTTCTTCCGCCAGTTTCCAACTTAGCCATCGCCTCCTTCAACCTTTCAATTTCTTCTTCTGACTCTTTACGTGCGTTGACTTCACGTAATCTCATTTCTTTGAGAAGATCCACTTCCTGCTGATGTCTTTCCACCATGGCTTTCAGCTGCTGATCAACCCTCGCTACCGGACAAGGCGACACACCCGGAGTCACCCGTGACCGAACTCGAGCAGCACTACCGGGAGTCTGACAAATTGCAACACTTCCCCGCTTATTGCCAGAACGTAAGGCCTCGTTCCTCCATACCTCCGCATTAGCTTCAGCTACTTCACACTGCTTCTGCAGGGCAAAAATGACCTCGTCAAGAGTTGCCAATCACTTATCAGTGGCCGTTCTGACCTCCGCCTGTTCACGACGAAGCCGAGCAACCTCTTCTGACTCCTTGGCCATTCTTCCGACAGTAGCGGACATAGATGCACCTTCATTACTCCGCTTCAGCTGCTCCACCTGCGCACGAAGCCTGACAACCTCATTACCTTCACTTTTGCCGGCATCATTCGTACGGCCTGCCTGACATTGTTAGCTAAGAGCAGCAACCTGAGCTTTAAGCTGTTCGATCTCGCTCACATCCCCAGCCTTCTTACCGTTGACCACCTCACAGACTTTATCAAGCTTAGTCGACATCTCCTTATGAAGCTCCTTCTGCAGATCCTCACGTTCCTTTTTTTCTTTCAGTCTTCGTTCTTCATCATCCCTCTCACGCTCCTTTTTGTCTTCTTCCTCACGTTCTCTTCGCTCCCTCGCCTCATCTGCCTCGTGTTTGCTGTTAATTTTTCCAACAATCTCTTCCAAAGTGTTGACTCTTCTGCCTAGCCCACTACCACTTCCTCCTCCGTTAAACTGACCAGAGTAATACGGCACAGCAGTCCCGACATTCGTAGCCGCCGGCACATTCATCAAGGGCTGCGCAGGAACAATAGCGTTAGACGGTTGACCTCCATTCAGCCTTCGATCAGGGAGCGGGCAAAACCTGGATATATGCCCAGGTTGACCGCAGTTGTAGCAATTACGGACTGCAGGCATAATCGGATCACCATTAGACGCCATGATGTTGGTAGAAGCCACACGCCGGTAGTCTCACTTCTACCACGGTTACTTCGCGAAACAAAGTATGTTATGCTTATCAGCATAAACATTAGTTAGCCGTAATCACTCCTCATATGCACCACAACGTCAAAAATGGAGGGAGAAGAGACAGAGAGAGACGTACACAGAAGATGGATAGGAGAACAAAGAAGATAAAGCCACACTTCAGCAGAAGAAGAAGACCACAACAGGTGTCTCGAACACGACTTGAATACGATAGATTAAAATGAAGCACAATGCCGGAACCAAAAAAGCTCCGACTGGCGTTACGACCCGACCGGTTTCGCCTGGCCGCCAACCAGGACTCATCAGGGGTCTAAGTCACTTGACGGACACCTATCTAAAGACTTACTTATATGAAAAAGAGAGACTCATAAGAAGACCGTCAAGACTTCACGAACCGACCGGAAAAAAGTCACGTCCCACACTACCCGTCGAACCACAGATCAAATCCTACGAACTAGTAGCCTCAGATTACCGCACTGAATAGACCACCTCCAATGCACACAACCTCAAAAAACTTAGCGAAGAAGCCTTAGAAACTACCGAGACTCAGATCAGCAAAAGGTACCGGACTCAAATCCTCAAAAATAAAAAAGACAGAGCTAAAAAGGATAGACCTAAACTACAGAGCAACCCGGCACAAGACACCCATCAGAACATGAGACAACCCCCAGTTACCCACCTCTCAGGTTAGAAAAGTACCCCTCAAAGATGGCCTAAAGCCAAAAGTTGTTCATATCATTGATATGAATATCATAATATTTTCCCAGACTTTTTTTTTTTTTTTTTTTTGGTAAAAAAAATATATTTTGCACAGGGCCGGATTTTCCATATCCGGAATTAATCCGAAAATTTCATCCGGATTGAAAATTCTGGATAAAATTGGTCTGTCGGATATCCGGATTTGCTACTTAGTATATATATATACATACATACTATGTATATAGATATACAGGGTAACCGGCGTTCGTGGCGGGCCGAACGCCCGAACCCGAACGCCCGAACGTATGGGACCCATTGGGGATGCGTTTGGCGGTTCGGGTCGAACGCAGACCCAAAAAAAAAAAAAAAAAAAAAACAAAGATCATAAAAAAAATCTGAAAACACGATATGTTATGGAGAAAAATAAACTAAACAACATTTGCGTGGGCACTACATCCAAACTCTTTACCAAATTTGAATCAAAAATCAAATACAGAAAATAAACACTATGATAAAAATAAGAAAAAATAAAAAGAGAATTAAAATGAGTGAGTGTGCCAGCACCTTTTCGACACCACAATCTTCGTCGATTTTTAATTATGTTTTGGCATTGACAAATGCCCTGAAAATTTACAGATATGTAGCTTACATAATCAATAACTCATTAAAAAATTTTCAAAAAATAATTAAATTGTTTAGGCCCCGAAATAAAGTGAAAACAAGAAATTAAAAGTGAAAAAAAACAACATAGTGAGTGGGCGAGCACGTTTTGACACCCCCATCTTTGACGATTTTTTATGTTTTTTTGGCTTAGCAGAATGGATCCAAAATTTATGGACGTGTAGGTTACGTCATAGAGAACTCACACAAAAACATTCAGAAAAAAAAACCTTATTGTTCGGCCCCGAAATAGTTTTTGGCAGGGGCCGAACCTGGAGGTGTTCGGCCCCCGAACGGGACCCCGAACGATATATATATGAGGATGTAGAGCTTTTCGTGCTCCAGACCCTCATATTTCTTATTTTATTTTTTTATGTTTTTTATATTTGAAAAAAATAAAAAAACATCGAAACGCAAAAAACAACAACATAAAGAAATAAAAATTGATTGATTGATTGATTGATTGATTGATTGATTGATTGATTGATTGATTGATTGATTGATTGATGATTGATTGATTGATTAATTGATTGATTGATTGATTGATTGATGATTGATTGATGATTGATTGATTGATTGATTGATTGATTGATTGATTGATTGATTGATTGATTGGTTGGTTGGTTGGTTGGGGAAGGGTCGTGCCGCTCCCCCCCGCCAACACACACACACATGCACATGCACACACACACGAACACACGTATGCACACACACACGCACGTCGCACACACACCTACGANATTGATTGATTGATTGATTGATTGATTGATTGATTGATTGATTGATTGATTGGTTGGTTGGTTGGTTGGGGAAGGGTCGTGCCCTCCCCCCGCCCCCCCCCCCACACACACACACACGCACACACACACACACACTAGGGCACTCAGAAAAACCTTTAGGGCCAGCAGTACGCGATTGAATGCTAAGGAACTACCGTCAAACGATGATAGAGCAGAAGGTGATAGAATGGAGGGAAGTCAGTTTCAATGTTGACGAATCCCCGTGTAAGATGGTACTGGTAATTACGGAGGTCGGGGTAATTCAGGGTTCGGGAATTTCGTCCAATGGCTTGGTGAAAGTCACAAACACATAGCTGATCACCCTCTGTTTGACACGGGTAGGCCGGAAGTCGTAAGTTCGATCGGTGGAAGAGTTGTTCGTTCTCACAGTATTCTTTGTACTCGGGGTTCCGCAGACTCGCACAGTCAGTGATCCAGAATGGAACGTTGACATCCTTATTTGACAAGAGGGTCTTGACTCATACATTTGCTCACACAAAGAGACATGCATATACATGATGACCGTCGTCTGGTGATCGCTCGTATACGTGCTTGCACATGATCTGTTCCGTTGGATCCGACTCTACTTAGATGGACCAACGGGCAAAAGGGAAGAGGTGAACAACCATTATTATTCATTAGATGTCAATTGCGTGCAATTCATGCATAGGAACAATTCAACTCATACTCAGGCATATACACAGATCGCAATCGACTTGTTATACATGCATCTGCCCCAATCCAGGTTGGTTTGGGGAGACAATCCCCAACCGCTCAAGGCAAGATTCCACAGTCGATGACTACCGTATATACAAGGACATAGTCATTCCAAGAGTGGGCGGGATCACATACATGTCTTCACACTTCAGCAGGGCATTCATTCCCTATGTCCTCATTTCTACAATCAACCATAAACAAACGTGGAGATGAGAGAGATAAAGATAGCTCAAACATCAATCAAAGAAAAGAAAATTTGAGAATGCCGCGAGCAAAAAAATGGTTGAGAACCAGAAATTATAGTAAACCAGAGAAATCAAAATTATGCAGAAAATACGAGGAGATAATTCCCACTTCAGCACACTGCCTTCTCTCTCTCTCTCTCTCTCTCTCTCTCTCTCTCTCTCTCTCTCTCTCTCTCTCTCTCTCTCTCTCTCTCTCTCTCTCTCT